GTAGTAGTAGTAGTAGTAGTAGTAGTAGTAGTAGTAGTAGTAGTAGTAGAGTAGAGAGAGAGTAGAGAGAGGAGAGAGAGAGAGAGAGAGAGGAGAGAGAGAGAGAGAGAGTTGTGATTCTCACACTGTATTTCTGTGCAAGAAGCATGTATTCTAAAGTTGTGTGCTGCTGGCTTATAAAGAAAGAATTTATGGTGTGGTATTGCCTTCCTCTGAATAGGTAACGTTAGTTGAGATTACAGGAGTGTTTAAAATCTCGAAACTCGGACCGGGAGTCGAATTGGTCACCCACTTGTTCAATTTGAACCCACTGAGCTGGCTTGGCCAAACTAATAAAAAAGAAAAAAAAGAAAAAAAAGAAAAAAAGAGAAAAATGCAAATGAAATTTGAAGAGTTCAAAATGTTTGAATAAGGTCTAGGAACTTCAGATCTTCTTAAAAACAATTTTCTTTTAATAGAAATTTATTTAGTGTTATTTATATACTTGTAGGTCTGAGTCCCAACTCCCGATTCCCTTGAAAGAGTTTGAGTCCGAGTCCTGATTCAGGGGCGACTTGGACATGTGGCTATGGGTCCGGATTAATCATGCTATTCCAAGTCGACCCGGCGATTTTTGTGACACTAGATTGTACCATGTTACAGCATCATACAAACAGTGAGGCACATGTCTTATCGTCCATCTGTAGTCAGGAAAGGACGGTGGAGATGAGCCTTGCACCTCATATTATTTACAATTAGTCAAATTCACATGCTTTGCACCTCTACTTTGTGCTTGAAAGTTTTTAATTGAAGAATATAAGTATCAAATAAATGAATAAATAAATGTGACGTTTGTAACAAAAATAGAAAAATACCTAGAAAAACATAACACCATTGTGAAGTTTAAAGAGAAATAATTAAAAAATAACTATGAAAATAAATAAATTAATGAGAATATTATAAAGAAATTAATGAGCTGCTGCCAAAAAAATAATTGCAGAAGATGATAAATACAATGAAAGAGGCAAGAGGGAAAACAGGGGATGGGATAAGAATGATAGAAAAACAGAAATGAGAAAAAAGATAAGAAGCATTGATTGACAAAGGATTTTCAAAAATAAAGCAAAATGAAATCTATACATGTTGGACGGACTTTGGATGTGCTCGTAAATATGAGCTATCAGATTATCATTATAGTTTTTTTTCAACTATTTGAAGTCGGTTATATGAATCCTGGTGTGCAATTCTACTCTATCGAGGGTCATACTCTCGGTGCAATTCTGCTCTATCGATGGTCATACTTTCAGTAAGGTCATAAGTTTCATATATTTCCTCTCTATTTCAAACGGATTTTGAAGTTGGTGAGGCGAACGTCGTCTTAATATTCGACCTAAACCATCCGATTCAACATACCTCAAATCAGATATGCGCATTTTAAGATATCCAAATCAATTTTTACACTCAATAAATGAGTTCAAGGGGTTAAAATATATTTTTGGATCCTCAATCAATAAATAAAATAAGGATCATAATTTTGAACTTGGCCATTTTTTTTATTGAGGAAATGTTATGTGTAGTCGGCAACAGTTTTATTTTAATTGGTATGTCAAAAATTGTAAGCAACTTAAATGAAAGTTGTGTTGCCGATATTTTGCTGCAAGAAAAGCTCATAGA